ATCCTCATGAAATCTGTTTCTGATTGTTTAGTCAGAGACATTCACACCAGTGGTCTGCTGGAGGTCATTTTATAGGGCTGTGGTAGTGCTCATCCTGTTCCTCCTTGCACAAAGGAGCAGATACCAGTCTTGCTGATGGGTTAAGGACCTTCTATGGTCCTGTCCAGCTCTCCTAGAGTAACTGCCTGTCTCCTGGAGTCTCCTCCATGCTCTTGAGACTGTGCTGGGAGACACAGCAAACCTTTTGGCAATGGCATGTATTAGTGTGCCATCCTGGAGGAGTTGGACTGACTGTGCAACCTCTGTAGGGTTCTGGTATTGCCTCCTGCTACCAGTAGTAACGCTGACCCTAGCCAAATGCAAAACTAGTGAAAAACAGTCAGAAAAGATGAGTAGAGAAAAACATTTCAGTGGCCTCCACCTGTAAAACCATTCCTGTTTTGGGGGTCATCTCATTGTTGTTAATTTCATTAACACCAAAGCAGCTGATACTGATTAACAACCCCCTCTGCTACTTAACTGACCAGATCAATATCCCAGAATTTAATTGACTTGATGTCATACTCAGATTAAAAAGTGTTCCTTTAATTGTTTTTTTGAGCAGTGTAAATAGGAGAAAATGGAAATTAGTCATTTTAAAAGTGTTGCATTTCACTGGATAATAAAAACCAACCTGTCTTTTACAGGGCTCCTCTCTACAGGCATGCCCACGACTGATCCAATAGTCAAGAAAAACAGGAAATACTAGATCTACCAAGCAGATATAGACAGTGGTATTGTGGGTAATACTGCATGGGAAATGCTCGAGTCTACATTTATGAAATAATTAACAATTAATAGTGATCTACTGAATATCAATTCACCCTGATTAATGGATTTTCATTTTAATATATTATTCTCACAGCATAATGTCTCTAGTGTTTACAGAAGTCTAAAAACCAATTCATTAATAAATCACATTTATTTGAATGGATGCTAATTTAATTACTTATTGCAATGCCTAAAAAAAACTTTGCAATAGTCACAAAAACCTTCATCCCAAATTATCATAATAATCCAAGACTATATACTTTGACATCTGGCAATCTTTCAAGGTGGTCAAATAGTAAATATAATACTATCTCTATCACTTTCTGGAAATAAACTCAGGAAAATCAATGCTTTAAAGTAAAGTTAGATCATATCAGTCTTCTTTTGATATTTTGTTCCAAAACCTTTTGGCTTAGGTATGAAAAAGTAGAGTAGCCTTTAGGACAAGCACTCCCATCTCTATTATATATTTTGTGATAACTAAGAAAACAAGCTCTTGTTACTATTTACAAAAAGACATTTAAAGTCACTTCAGCCAAAGCTGAAAAACTCCCCCAAAAAAATTTGTGATTAGATGTCAACTGTTTGAATAACTCATTGTCCTATTTTATCTCTGGGAGACTCAATGAGACATCTGCACTTGGTCACCTCTACAAGTAATATGTTACTGGGTGAAATTTCATTATTGTGTTGCTCCTTACAGCAAACAAAGTTTTCCAAAATGTGGGGGTGCAATACTCCTAGACTAAACTAGTACTTGGTAAGCCTTACTATGTATAGGAAACCTATAGAGAGGAAGTTTGAAGGATACCATTTCTGACCCTTCCTTATGAATATACTAGTTTCCCAGTTTTATTATTTTTAAGGCACTGATTATGAGATCTGAATTCACTCTGACTTTTCGTACTTATGTACTTGTTTCAGTTCAGTGTTTCAATGTATTTTTGCCAGAGGCAGCCTGGCCCCTATCATATTTGGTGTAAAAAGACTTGAAACTGAAGTGCCACAGCACTGCTAAGAGGTCCAGGTACAACTTTATTCCATTAAATGTCAGGGGTACAATTCAAAAAGTAGCCAATGCCTTTCAGGAGTCTAAGGGCCCATTTTATCAGGGCTTGACTGGCAACAAAGTGAACAAACCAGAAGTGAACTAATCCTGCAATGGTATTTTTACCAGTGTGAATTAAAAGCGCAGGCCTAATCAGCAGCAGCCCACTTTCCTCAACCTATCATATTTGGAACACAGGTGACAATGGATACTACTTTTTTTCCTCTCAGAACCTATTTAATAAATAGAGCCCCCCCGAGGACATAGTCATTCTAGTGATTGCTGTTTGTAGTAGGCACTGGAGGGCCACCAGGTGAAAGAACATGGTCGCTGTAGTGATTGCTATTTGTAGTAGGCACTGGAGGGCCACCAGGTGAAAGAACATGGTCACTGTAGTGATTGCTATTTGTAGTAGTAGCACTGGAGGGCCACCAGGTGAAAGAACATGGTCACTGTAGTGATTGATGTTTGTAGTAGGCACTGGAGGGCCACCATGTGAAAGAACATGGTCACTGTAGTGATTGCTGTTTGTAGTAGGCACAGGAGGGCCACCAGGTGAAAGAACATGGTCACTGTAGTGATTGCTGTTTGTAGCAGTCTCTGGAGAGAGTATGCCTATAAAAAACTGTCTACTTCTGTTGGCTCCGCTGCTATTTTCAAAAAGACAAGACTTTGCTCACTGGCCCACTTGTTATATTTATGAAGGTAATGCAAGTCAGTCAGGAAAATGTGGTATATGAGTTGTTGGATGAGCCTATGTAGAAACAGAATGTACCACTAACTTTTTGTATAGCAATGTCGGTGGGTGGTACATGTGTTTCTTGACTTAGTTCAGGTAGTGCTTTGATCCTGCAAGGTGATGGTGGTAACAGAAACTGGTGAACGGCAAACATCCACTGGATTTAAACATATATATTAGGAGTACAGTACAACAGCTTTAAAAATAAGAAATGATGAACGATCAACTATCTTAACCGCTTGCCGCCCTGCCACTGTATATATACGTGTGCAGGGCGGCACTGGGGCGCAAAACCACGTTTTAAAAACGGGTTCTGCGCTCCCGACGGTTTCGCCGGCAGGGGGTGCGCGCGTGCGCTCCCGCCGACCCGCGGGTGACACCATTCGATCCCGGAGGGATCAATCATTAGATTTCAGCCAGTGATGTCTGGCTGAAATCAGATGATCGGGCCCTGTCCTATCCTGTCCTGTGTTGACATTTACACAGGACAGGATATGATGTTGTCATTCTTCTCTGCCTGGACACATTCCGTTCCAGACAGAGAAGAAGACATACAAAAAGTGAGTACCAAGCACTACACTAACAGTTAGAACACTCTAGGACACAGTTAACCCCCTGATTGCCCCCCCCAGTTAACCCCTTCACTGCCCTGTCACCAGTGTCACTGATCAGTGAATCGATTTTTACTGATCACTGTATCAGTGTCGCTGGCAACTTCCGATAGTGTTAGCGCCCCTCCAAGATAGCGCCAGATTGCCCGCCAGTACACCAGTAATCCCGTTTAACCCCTTGATCGCCCCCCCCCCCCCCCCGTTAACCCCCTCACTGCCCTGTCACCAGTGTCACTGATCAGTGAACCGATTTTTACTGATCACTGTATCAGTGTCACTGGTGCCTTCCGATAGTGCTAGCACTCCTCCCAGATAGCGCCAGTTTGCCCGCTAGTACACCAGTAATCCCGTCTAACCCCTTGATCGCCCCCCCCCCCCCCCCCCCCCCCCCCCCCCCCCCGAGTTAACCCCTTCACTGCCCTGTCACCAGTGTCATTGATCAGTGAACAGATTTTTACTGATCAGTGTCGCTGGCGACTTCCAATAGTGTTAGTGCCCCTCCAAGATAGCACCAGTTTGCCCGCCAGTACACCAGTAATCCCATTTAACCCCTTGATCGTACCCCCCCGTTAACCGCTTCACTGCCCTGTCACCTGTGTCATTGATTACAGTGAACAGATTTTTACTGATCACTGTATTAGTGTCACTGGTGACTTTCGATAGTGTTAGCGCACCTCCCATATAGTGCCAGTTTGCCCGCTAATGCACGGGATTTTTTTTACCAAAAACATGTAGCAGAATACATTTTGGCTTAAATTTATGACTAACTTTGAGTTTACGATATATTTTTTTATAGCTGAAAGTAGAAAATATTGTTTTGTTTTCAAAATTTTTGTGTTTTTTTTGTTTATAGCGCAAAAAAAAAAGCGCACAGGTGATAAAAGACCACCAAAAGAAAGCTCTATTTGTGTGAAAAAAAAGGACGTAAATTTCGTTTGGGTACAGCATTGCATGACCGCGCAATTATCATTTGAATTAGTGCAGCGCTGTATAGCAAAAAAAGGCATAAATTACAGTATCTATACCATAGTTTGTAGACACTATAACTTTCACACAAAGCAATCAATATACACTTATTGGGATTTTTTTTACCAAAAACATGTAGCAGAATACATTTTGGCTTAAAATTTATGACTAACTTTGAATTTACGATATATTTTTTATAGCTGAAAGTAGAAAATAGTTTTTTTTCAAAATTTTTTGTTTTTTTTTGTTTATAGCGCAAAAAATAAAAAGCACACAGATGATAAAATACCATCAAAAGAAAGCTCTAATTGTGTGAAAAAAAGGACGTAAATTTAGTTTGGGTACAGCATTGCATGACCGTGCAATTATCATTTGAATTAGTGCAGCGCCAAACAGCAAAAAAAGGCCTGGTCATTAAGGGGGGTAAATCCTCAGGAGCTCAAGTGTAAGCAGTGTCTGACTTCTCAGCAATAATGCCTTTCCATGCTTAGAGCTGTAATCCAGCAACATCGATAGAGTGAATGTGAAATCCCACTGACTCCCGCTTTACAGAGGCTGCATGGCAGAACTATACAGGATCTGGAAATTAGTTCTTTCAAAGAGCAGACAAGTGAGCGCGGTCCCATATGTAAATGTAGTTAATGCTTTATAAAACTGTTGTGCTCACATTACATATCTGACACAGTACTATAAACAAGTCCTATTCACTTATGAGCATTCAATGTTTTTTCCATTACAATCTTTCATTTCATTAACAGTAAATCATGAAAAAAAAATACTATTGCAACTACTTAGACATATGCACGACTTAAAAACCCCGACTTACCTTTTCTTGATACTGCCGCCGTGATGAATCTAGAGATTGGATAAGCGCAGTGGCATGACCAATGAACATGGCATAGCAAGTGGCACCAACAATCATGCTGAGCATAGTAAGCCAGACATCCGACATACCCACTGGTGCCTGTTGACCATACCCAATGCACAACATGTGACTCATGGCTTTGAAAAGGGCATAGGAGTACTGCTTTCCCCATGAAGCATTCTGCAACATAAAAAAAAAAAATGTTTTCTTGTTATAGGCTTTAAAGAGGCCGGTTATAGGCTAGGTTTTTAGAAACCTCATGCAACGTCAGCTAACTCAGGAAGGAAAATGTTATTTATTAGTGATTTTGTTGCAGACAATGTTGAACATGATTAGTTACAAATCTGTTCATTGTTCTTGAACAGCTGGAATAGTCATACCCCAAAACTTTCCAGTGTCCATTAGTTGTATTGGAATACCCCCAAATTCGACTTAACTTGTGTCTGACATCTTCCTACAGGAGTCCATTTCCTTGCTAATCTGAAGAGATTATGCTATCATAGTCAGCGGGGTTTAACAGTATCATTCATTTGAGTTTAGGATTTAGTTTTCTGGTGCAAATTGCATGAGCTGTAAACTAGTACGTATAAGGATTTAGATTTTTATACAAATTACATAAAGCCTGACAGGAAAAGCAAGACTGTGGATTTAGATTCTTCATGCAAATCACACATAATTTATCCATGGATACATTTTACAATCAGAAAGCTCAATGCCACTCACCAAAATAAATTATAAAAATAAAAAACTATTCTTCAACATTACTTAATAATTCTAAGAAGAATGAAAACACTTCAGGTTTACAGACTGACATATTCATCCCCCACAGTTATTCCCATTTGTATACTTTGACCCTCCCTTTTAGATTGTAAACTCTAACGAGCAGGGTCCTCTGATTCCTCCTGTATTGAATTGTATTGTAACTGTAATGTCTGAACTTATGTTGTAAAGCATTGTGTAAACTAAATCCTGTATAATAATAATGTAGGAAAGGGCAAAAACTAATGTAAGTATATGCTAACAAATACAGTTTAATCCAGCTGTTTTGGATGCTATAAGCAAAAGCATAAAATAAATCCCAAGAAAATGCATAAAGATGATATATGATATTGCTAAGATGAAGCTGAAATAAAATATGACACTGTCTAATGAATGTCATCTTCTATAGGGTGATTCCATTCTCTGCTGTCTGCATTTTATGTGCTGAACTGATGGAACCAATATCATCTCAGCACAGTGTTTATGTGAATTATTCTCCTGCATCACACAAGCATGAGAGAAGAATGATCCAGTCCCAAAAAAATCTCTTCTGCAGCAATTTTTGGTGAATCGCTCTCTGTCGTTTGTGAGGCAGGAAATAAAATGATTTGCATAAAAAGTTACACTGGTTTGAAGCCATTCATTAGACCAGCACAGAAAACGAACATGACAATTTTTGTTAATAAACCACAGCATTCAGAATCACTTGTGTGATATTAAATTCAGAGCTCATTCACAGTTTTGCATTGAAGACGTTGTGGTGATAGGGAATCCTAGCAAGTGCTGATTGTGGCACCCAGACTAAGGTGCACCCACTTTGCAGCATACAGCGGTTTCCAAACGCATCCCTGAACACATCACAACACAAACACTGAAGGTAAACAGCCCCTTTGCAAAAATAGACAAGATGTTATGTGCACTTTACACAACAGCAACCTTCACTGAAAAATGCATAGATGTAAACGGGTAATAATAGGGCAGATGTTTCACAGTGATCTTCCCAAGACATATAGTTCAAAAGAAATTAAAATAATTGCATGAATAATTAAAAATGTTATTTTTGGTAAAAAAAAATTCTAGAGGGAAAAATCTAGAGCATTCAAAATTGCTCATATAGCCTAATACCTGACAGACCTTGTCTTCTAACAGAAGGACAGAATTAAAGTAGATTTAAACCCAAATGCTAAAATCTCATATAGGCTTTACCATGTTAATGTTATCACAAAATGTTTCAATCTTGTTAAAGCTTCAGCTTTTATTCAATTGATGTCTGGTGATTTTGCCACGAAGATTCTTGTTCAGACTTTTCCTGTTATAGGGTGACAGCTCTCTGTCCCAGTCTTCCAGGTGTGCGCTTGCCTTGTTACCCTTCGTCACATGCCTGATGAAGGGGTCCTGCGAGACTCCGAAACGTTGCCTTGCTGTAATTATGTGATTGTTTATTAAAACTTTTGGACCCATATTGGTGATCCTAGGTGTGCTGGTGACATTCTTCCTTTCTGATTCTGTTCAGTTCCAGCCAGCGGTCGCTGCAGCACCCACTTATACACATAGCCATTTTTTTACACAGGAATGTGTGCATTTGGATTGTATACTTGCCTTGTTACCCTGTCACAGGCACCCCGATGGAGACAATAAGCAGATGTATGACACACATTGCACAGGCATGGTTTTCTGTTGTCGCTATCAAGAAGCCAGTCCAGAGCCATGTGCAGCTGACATTGGAGTAAGTGCATGTAAGCAGTAAGTGGATGAAAGAGGCTGGAGGAGATCAGAACACTGAGATGCAAAAAAGGTGCACATCATTTATGGAAAACCATTGCAATTGTTTATAATGCACAATGTCTTTTCAAACTAAATCTCATCCAGCTAGGGTTTAGATTTACTTTATTGTATAAAATCACCTCTTTAAAGTTTTAGTTCCGTGCTTCTGATCTGAACTCCCTATGTTGGAAAACAGTAACATTTCCTTTTCTTCCTTGCATATCTAATAAACTATTGGAGCTAGAGGGTCAGGTAACTGTGCTATTCCCCCTTAGTGATCTATTGCTGAACGATAGATCAATATTTTAAGTGATCGATAGTGAACAATAGATCAATATTTTAAGTGATTTTTCAAAGGCGAATTGAGGGGAAGGATCAAGTCTTCCCTACCCCCTCATTAAGAAAACAAGTGTAAAATATAAACACATCAATTATTACTTTGTTATAGTAACCACTTGCCCTCCTGAGGATTTACCCCCCTTCCTGACCAGGCCATTTTTTGCGTTATGCCGCTGCGTTAGTTTTGCACAGGACAACCCGGAACCTCCACCCTGGGGTCCCCTGCTGGCATTGTCCACTCCTCCTCTTTTGTATTGGCCCCCTAGCAGGCTGCTTGCTTGGGGGGGTGCAAATGTGCAGGCCAATGGCTCCTGCTGCTCTCAGCAAAGTAAAGAACTGAAGCTGGGCACATCACTGGAGCGATACATGATTCAGGTAAGTGTTTAAGGGGGGTGTGGGGGGCACTGCTATTGGAAGATTTTTTTTTACCTTAATAAAGAGAAAGCATTAAGGTAAAAAAAAAAAAATTTTCCTTTACAACTACTTCAAAGCGGTAGTAGACTGACACCCAAAAAAAAAACAAATTTGGGTCCCCTGCAAGTATATCCCACATAGTAGCACATTATGGCAGACTTACCTGCAAACAGGGTCCTCCACCGCAGCATTGTTATGGCTCCCCCAGCGCTTCGGCATTTGCTGTTGTGGATATCTCCTAAACCACGGATGTCAAACTGGGGGCCCTCCAGTTGTTGTCAAACTACAAGTTCCATGAGGCATTTCAAGATTGACAGAAGCATGACTCCCAAAAGGTAGAGGCATGATGGCTTCAGGTAATACATAAAGATGAAACAAGTCTTTCTACATAAGTTATATCTGTCTAGCTGCAGCCTGCTCTTCTCTACATCCGTTCAAAATGCTGAATTTATAAGCTTGCCTGAGAGTTCAGAAAACAGGGGGCGGAGAGCTGAAGTTACACTCTACAGACCTTAGTGAGTGGAGATCTGAGAGTTGATTGGAGGGAAGAGACACATCCACCCTTCACACAGCTCACAGAAACAGAGCTGAGGCTGTCAATCTGCTGGAGGATCTGTTCCTGTCACCATTTTTCTCTTGGTGTCAGGAAAACTTGTCAGAAGTGTTTCATACTGATAGCGGACCCCTATCAGAAGAACAAAGCATCAGACAGAAATGACACTTAGTGCACACACTGTAGCACAGGTGTAAAACTGCCGGCCCTCCAGCTGTTGCCAAACTACAAGTCCCATGAGGCATTGCAAGATTGACAGAACCATGACTCCCTAAGGTAGAGGCATGATGGGACTTGTAGTTTGGCAACAGATGGAGGGCCGCCAGTCTGACACCCCTGTGAGCTAAACGGTGCACATTTAGGAGATATTCATTGGCCCTACAAGTAAGCCTGATAAGCTTAAAAAAAATACAGATTTAACAATGTTCTGCTACTGAACCATAACATAACCACATTCTGAAAATTCATGTCCATATTCTGCTTAAATGTTCATCTTGAAACATTACTCCTTGGTTTCTGTTACATCAACAAGGATTACCAAACCCTGACACAGTATCCAGTGACACAGACAGGTGCTCAAACTGCCGAGAACAAAGACAGGCTGATCTTCATTTCACGTATATACAGCATGTTAGGTCAAGTGCAGCAATATGTACTCTGTATTATGCATAGGACTCGTGGTTCTTGTTGGTACGGTTAGGTGTTACACTTACAAGATACTGTAGCCATCCAAACCGGAGACATTTCGTAATATCATGTCTCTTCCTCATCACTATTCACCATTGCACCTTTGGATTCAAGACTTAACCTTGCCATATTATGGAACAATGTTATTCCTCTTATATCCTGTATGAACTGAACTGCTGTCATAGCCACACATACAATGGCAGTTAGAGCAGGCTACACATGCATTCATATTTTCATTCCAACAGAAAATTCAATTGTGTTTGTGAGTATTTTCTGTTGCCATGCACACAGTTGCTTTCTACTTATCCAGCTAGAATTATGTTGCTTTATCAGTTTTCTAAAACAAAAATGTTTTATTCACTCTAAATCAGGCATCATTAAATGGTGAACCACAGTCCAGACCCTGACTGAGTGGCAGTTCCATCTGGACCACTTTGCCACTTAGCAGCCTAGGCACCCTCTCCTAGGTTCGGAGGGGTGCGGGATAATCCTAGCAACCAATCACCTGCTTGTTAAAGTGGAACTTCACTCTTTCAATCAACATTGGCTATTTTTAATCTTTATGCTGCTAACATTAGTAAATAGATAGGACAGTATATCATATTTACTTGTTTTAAAACATTTTTTTTTACATTTCTTTAGTCACCTCCTGGTTTCCAGGCCT